TGCTCGATGAGGCGATGTTTATTAGATTGTTCAGTAAATTTGAGCAAAAATTTATTTCGGCATTTCTTTCTCTCCTCCATTCATATATCTCAAATGAATGTTTGTTATATTTTATTGTAAAAATGACATAACTAACAAAACAGAAAGATATTCTGTTATTCTCTTCATACATTATAATATAACAAAGATGAAGAAAATGTTTTCATTGTCATATGCTGTTTTAATTTTTAATAATAATAGCACAGAATTACTATTTTAATTTTTAATGATAGAATGGAATTACTATCTTCTATAAATTTTACTTCATCAGTGAATGCTTTGAATAAATATTTTAACAATTCGATCACACTGAAGTAAAGATGAAACTAAAAATTGCTATACATTTAAATGTCACAATAATTTGGAAAATTTTTGAAAAGCTAAACTTTTTTTTTCAAAAATTAATCAATTTTTTTTTTTGTGTGTTTTCCATTTATCTTTTGCTACAGCTCAAATGAATGAAAAATCAGTGTTCTGTTTTTGAGAATTTGAACTTTCAACTTAAACACAAATCTTTGAAACTTTTTTTTTTTTAATTTTGAATAAAGTCTTTTTTCATTTGCATGTTTTTCAATCATAATTATGGCAACTATACCTGAATCTCTTAATTTTTTTTTCGCAATTTAGAAATATCTGATTGAAATTTTGATTGATTTTGGAAATCCTTCTATCAAAAAATATTTAACAAACAGCAATCCAAACTGTTGAAGATACACTCAAATTTTAACAAATAAAACCGTTGTCTAATTTTTTTTTTATTTTTTTTGAACAATTTCTCATATCTTTCCAGGTGTTCCCTCCATTTTTTTTTAAAAATTGCCAATTTTTTGGAATAAAAAGTTTCTGAAAGAAAATAAAATAAGAGAGTGAATGTGAAAGTAAATGTGTAATGATAAACTATCATTTTGATATTAACTAATTTACATTTAATATTAGAATTGATTAATTATACGTCCGTGGAAGATGTAAGATGAATTACTGTCTTTTGACGGGCGCCTTCACCAGTTTTTATCATGCAAAAAATCAATATCTTTTAATGAATATGCAGTAAACTTGATGGATAATAAAATTTCACCAAATAATAATGTTAATAGATAGAACAGATATAACTGGAATATCAAATATAAAAATTTTAAAGATAGTTAAATTAGCGACAAAATAAATGAGCTAAAATTAAAACGAATAAAAAACAAATCACGTATAAGATCTGAACTGGCCTTAAGCTTTTTTTTTTCACTTTGCCGGACTTATTTTTCAATTGTAGAATAATAAAAAATTGAGGAAAAGTTTTGCAAAAAAAAGTAGCAGCATTTTCAAATGCTCCTCTCTTCCAAATACAAGTCTAAAATCATTTCAAATCACTACTTTTGATAATCAGTTTACACAGAGGAAATGATAGCTAACTAGAAGAAAAAAATTTTACCGCAAATTAAATGAAGATAAAATGTGTTTGCAAGAAACATGATAAACATGATGTTAAGCGATATTTGTCTCACATGAAATTGATTTTAACTAGCAATAATGCATTTTTAAATTGTGAAAGGAATGAAAATTTTGCAGAAGAAAATCTAATTTGTAACAATTCTTTCTTGGATATACTACAAAAAAAGGAATTTTAAAACTCAGTTTATAGTGCATAATAATTAAAAACAATGACTGATATATGATTTTAATAAATTTAAATCTTTCATTTTTTTGGCGATAAATATCTTGAAAGAATCACAACAAAAATCAGTGGAGCTAGTTAGCATTGAAAATTTTTACGAATCTAAGATACTGTAAAATTTGATGAAAAATTTTGTTAATCAAATTTAAACAATAAATTAATCATTGATACTAATAAGGAAAAAATTGTGCTGGGTGAAGATAAATTCTAATAAATAAATAAGAATTAGGTTTTAAAAAAG